AACGTATTTAACTGTATTTATTAGTGTTTGTTAAGTTCTGAAAAACTTGTAACTAAATGTGTCCAAATAACTGACTAGGTAGAACTCCTCTTTAACGTCAACATTGTTCACAAGTCACAACTACAACAAAGCCTTAGTCCAAAATGATTTGGGGTCGGCTAACGTGAATCATCATATGGAATCGTTCAAAAAGGGACTAGCAAATATTGTTCACAAAATAAACATAAAAAAAAAGTTATGTTGTTGCATACATTGTGCGTTATTCAAAAGTTCAAGGATATAGTGTGCACAAAGTAAGATGTGAAACTGTGAAAGGCATCACATGAAATGTGCAAAAGTTCAGAGGTGTCCCACTAGTTCCCAGGTAAAATACATGCTTTTGAGAGTGACCTCCAAAAAATTTACTCCATATTGAAATCTACTACATATATAGTCTTATTTCTCAAACGCTAAATACTCTCCCTGCAGAAGAATGATTAGGAAATTAGTTTCCTCTGAATTTTGTGAATTTTTGAAGCAGCTTCCAATTGGGACTGTTACTTGTATCCATCCAGTAAAGTAACCAAGCTGCAGTCTGACAAAAATAAATGTCACTGGAGAAAGAATATGAGGCCTCTTAAATTTCTGTTAGGTATTGGTCGAAATTTGTGTATTGCTTCTAGTTAATTGAAATCTACAAGCTTCCTCTTTCCTTGATTCCGTTCTCTTTGCACATTGTCTTGCTAGTGTTTGGAATTCCCCTCACATGTAGCTGTCTCAGAGAACTCCCAGCACTTCACTCAGACTTCCATCCTTTCAGTTGCTTTGAGCCTTTGACCAGTGCTTCACATAACCTATCCTTTTATCCCCAGCCACCAGAATTTGGGGATTTACCAATATAGTCAATTAGCAAGGCATTGCTAATACCACCACAATCACCTTTTGACATTGGAGCAGTAGTGACGGCTTCAGATTTGTTGAGACAAAGCTCAAAAATTATACCATATGTCCATATGACTTGACGAAAAGGAAAATGTTCTTTTAGCTTGTCTTTTTTCTCGTCTCCTCACTCTTGTTTTTGTTGATAGTAGTGGCATTTTGATCCTTGGTGGTTGTATACTTGTATTGGGTCACCTATGTACGGTGGTAATGTTGAGTGGTTGGATAGAGAGGAAGCTGCAATGGGTGACTAGACTTCAGCGAGGAGAGTGAGGATTATGTGTTGCCAGTGTTGTCCTGGTTGTAAAAGGGACACAACATGATTGTGAAGGGAGTTCAAAGGTGATAAAAGGGACACAACATGATTGCGAAGGGAGTACAAAGAAGGAATAGTGAGGCGTTGTAAGACTCACTGTGACAGTGAGAACTCTCTCACTGATGGTAAAGGGTTTTTCTTTGTTGGGTGAGAAAGGGGCGACAGATGCGGGGATGGCTTTGAGTGTATTCATTCCTTATCATAGCACATAATATTTTCTTTGTTGGGTGACCAAGGGGCGACAGATGCGGGGATGGGCTTGGGGGGTATTTATTCCTTACCTTAGCACATATTATTGTAAATAATAAGAGGAAGGATACTTCTATGTGCATTCTCATTTCTTGCACCATTTTCAATTGACCTATCTTAAATTAAACAACCCCTAAATGTGATTGTTGAAAGTAGGTCTAAGTTTCAAGAAGATTAGTTCTCCGTTGGCTAATAAGGAGGGCATGTAAAGAGATTAGATGAATGCAGAGAAGATACTACTTACATCAAGTTGGATTTGGGGAGGCTGAGTGTGACTATGTATAATTGTAGTTGTCCAAGGTAGAGGCTCTATTGACTAGCTCGATAAATAGGTAATAGCACTAGCTGCTCATGTTTAGCTTGCTGATCCATGTAGATGCAAATCCTAATTTCTGTTGTTTTTTCTTGTAATTGGATGGTTGGTGGCTGTCAATTTTCTGCGTTTGGTTGTGTGATGATTGTTGTGTCTTTTCATTTTCACTATTTCAGGCTCAATTTATATGGAGTAGGTCTTAAGTGGACATGCTGATTAGGTGGTTGGAAGTATCTTCCATGACTAGACTAAAAGTCTCTTGCTTTGCGATTATAACCTAGATAAACTGCTACACACTGCTTGATTATATCATTAGAATAGTAATATGGTATATGCTCTTATTTCAAACCCATTTCTTAGATTTCTCTATATAAACTCTAGTAATATAGATAAACTGCAGTAATATAGATTTCTCTGTATAAACCTAGATAAACTGAAGTAATATAAACCTAGATTTCTGGCTGTCAGATATAGATTTCCTTATATAAAGACATAAAGTAGGTGAACTGCAGTGATATAGATTTCTCTATATGATAACTGATCCCATCCCTTCCTATTTGGCCTTCAGATATGTGTTCCAAGACTTCCAACGCCTAAACCAGATGCTAGCAATCGATTGTCTAGAGACTCTAGACCCAATACAGATAGTCTCAAGGTATGTCTTTTGACTGTCTCCCTCTATAGTTCATCTCTCCTTGTTGCCAAGTACTGATCTTTCATTCACTGCAGGCCTTCACTGGTTCTATCATAGAGCGGACAGATAATTTGCAAATTTCTTCAGATAAAGAAACTATTGATCAGGTTACTATGTCTTTCTCTGGTCTAATCATCATGTTTTACTTTTCATTCATTTAATAAGAAGTTATGTTTATATAATGCAGCCATCTAATCCTCAGCCTTCAAAGCCGGTATCCAGATTCAAGATGCAGAGGAGGGCTGTTTAGATTTGAATCATGCAGATATCCTAGGTATTAGTGTAAATTGTAGAGGATACAATGTGTCAATGTGGTATCTATTCTAGCCAAGATTGGCATCTATTGAAGTTAGTAATGTTGACTTGTTATGTTGAGAAGCAAATTTTGTGGGATGTAATATCTGCTTGTCTTGGATCTTGACTGTATTGATTCTTAAATTGTTGACTTGGTAAACTATTTCTTTTGTTTTGGTTGTATCCTTGTACTCCCTCCGTTTTTAAATATTTGCTCCACTTTCTTTTTTCGGCCGTTTTTAAATACTTGCTCATTTCCTTATTTAGAAAGCTTTTACAATATTTAATTTATTTCTCTCACTTAATTGACCCAACATAAATCATATTTTATTAATTTCATATTCTCTCTCCTTCAATTCTCTCAACTACTTTTACTTTATATAGTTTTTATTCTTCAACTTACCCCACTATTTTTATATTTTATTACTTTTTTTAATTTCTCTTAAAACTCCGCGTATGGAGAAATGAAGCAAGTATTTAAAAACGGAGGGAATATGTGATAGCCCACATACAATATGTGTGGGCAATTTGGCATAATGATTGTGGTCACTGGTCAGAAAATTAAGGCCCACTTTCCATCAAAAATTAAAATTTGAAATTCAATCCAAAATGTGAAACTCTAATACTTTTGAAATTGAAATTGTATTTGTCATTTTCAATGTTGTGTGGGCAATTTGGCATAATGGTTGTGGTCACTGGTCAGAAAATTAAGGCCCACTTTCCATCAAAAATTAAAATTTGAATTTCAATCCAAAATGTGAAACTCTAATACTTTTGAAATTGAAATTGTATTTGTCATTTCCAATGTTGCGTGGGCAATTTGGCATAATGGTTGTGGTCACTAGTCAGAAAATTAAGGCCCACTTTCCATCAAAAATTAAAATTTGAATTTCAATCCAAAATGTGAAACTCTAATACTTTTGAAATTGAAATTGTATTTGTCATTTCCAATGTAGCATTATTTTATGAATTTATGCATATTTTATGAATTTATTTTTTTTGAAAAATATTTTTTCTATTCATCTTTTTGCCTGATATTTTCTCTAGAAAAACATACATACAGAGTACTACCTCCGTTACAAGTTATGTGCAACAATTTGACATAAAGTAGAGAGGGAAAATGTCTAATCGTTGCACATAACTTGTAACGGAGGTAGTAATTTTTTAACTAAGTATTGTTCAACTTTTTTGCCTTAATGTTGTTCAGCAATTTTCTTGTCGTCACATCAAAATCCTTAAAACCCCATTATTACCTTTTTGATCTTAATTAATTTTATCCATGGCATCCAATATAATGGAGCTTCTTTAGTTTTGCCTCTTTCTCTCTCCTCCTCCCCTTTCACTTTGGATTTTTTTTAAACAAATGTAGCTTCAGGAAATGCAATCGATTTTATTTTATTTTATTTTAAATTTTTTTTTTTTATTTGCAGAAAATGGAGGAAATACAGTCAAATTCAATCATTTCTTTTTAATGAATTGACATGTAAATTAAATGTCATGTTAATGGTGACACTATTATCATTAACATTGTTTAATGAAATTAAAATTACTTGTAAGTGGTCAGTGAGCATATTGATCGATTCCAAATTTCCGATAAATGAATTTTACAAATTGTAATGTTGGTAGTATTTACTAATCATCATCAAATGTCACATTGACATATATATTAATAATGTCACCAACTATTGACCCACCATTGCATTGATGAAGGGCATAAGATTTCTAATTTCAATCTATACTATATATTAAAAGACGTTCCTAAAGATGTTTAGGTATTACGTGACACCTTCCTCAATCAATTGAATATTTCATTCACGTGCTTAAAAATATAGCTTGACACAAGATTTGAACTCATAACCTTAAGTTTTTAAAACATAGTGTTAGGTACTAAGTTATTGCCATATTATATGTCATTATATTAAAATTAAATATAAATAAAGATTTTAATCATGAAACTAACGAAGTAACTCGAGACATCGTCCGAGCCTAACACTAGTTTTTATATTATTGTCTGGTTTTAGTAACTTTTTAGACAATTTCTAAATGTAAAACTCAACCATGAACATTGACACAAAATGAGTTGTTTCTCACATCCAATGACGATATGGTTAAAACCCAATCCACTTCTTAGTTTAGCCACTCATGTGATGTGATGATGAAACTCTATTAAGTATCCTATTGTCACTTTCCACATTATGGCCTACCACATCCATTTTTTTTTTGTTAGAGATTAAATAAATAAATATTAAACAAATTTATTACGAAGTATCATATAGATAATAAGGGCCTACATATTTGTCAATTGAGGTTCAAAGATGGGTATCTAAACTAGATGGTAAATTATTGGTATATTGATAATGCTACGGGAGGAGGAGTCATTCGAAGGGTTGATGACTCTTGGTATATTTGGTTTTTTTTGCAAATACAATGTTGCTAACCCTCTTGCTATAGAGTTATATGCAATCAATGATCTGATAGACTCACAATTGCAAAGGAATTGGGAATCAAGAAAATTGAAATTGAAAGTAATGCAAACTCGCTTCGCACCATGCTCCTCACCACTGGATCAGAGGATATCCGCACCATGAGCTAGCTAATTACGACCATCTGCGATGTTGCTGGCTAAGGGCCAATTCTCTGCAACTTAATTTCAGTTCAGATATGCTCCAATCGGTTTATTTCAGTTCAGTTCCTAATCATCTACTCTCATAAAATATTCAGTTCAACTCCAATCAGTTCGGTTCAGTAAATCAGAAAAGACCCTAATTAATAGCTTTGAGGTTGCTTTTGTCTCTCATGTGCCTCGTGAGCAGAATGTTTCAGCTCATAAATTGGTTATCTATGGCAAAGAAATGGCGGTTGGGTATAAGACCCACTATTTGGTTCCATGAGGTGTGAAATTTTTTTACGAAGCTGAAATAATGGAAGCTGCAAGCTAAGGGCTGCTGCTGGTTGTTGTTACCTTTTCTTTTTTATTTATTTATTTATTTATTTATTTATTTTTTAACAGTAGGATCTATAAACGAAAAACAAAACAACATACACAACTACACTTGATAACCATTACATGAAGTGACAAAAACCCAAGAAGGGCCAATGCGAGCAAGCTTCACACGATCTAAGTTGATATACTCCGGAACAAGAGGCGAAGCCGCACGTCGTTTTGAACCCACACGATCCATCCTACAACCTGTAAAAACCTTATCAGAGCACATCTTACCTGACGTCCAAATACGAGAATGAGAAATAATCTGTTGTTGGCGATTCAAGTGAGACGAAACCCTAAGTCTTGACGGCAAAGTTGGAAGTCGAAATACAGAATCCTGAAGACTGCCTACAACGGATTATCAATATATTAGTTCCAACTTGGGAGTATTAGCTCCAACTGGTACATCAAAACATGATCAGAAGTCTATTTCCATCGTCTCCAAATAAGAGTTCGTAATCCTCCCCCCACCCCAACCCTTAAAAAGTCTCTATCATTCCCTCATCCCAACCTTCAATAACTTGCATCTTTCAACAAACATGAAAGCTTTATTGAATGAAGCCAAGCACTATAATGTATCTTTCCAAGTTCTGCTGTAATGTACCTTAATTCGAGTCAGATGCTAACCTGGTTGGAAAGACCCCCACAAATGCATCACCTGCACCAGTTATAACTACAGGTTCGACTTTAACACTGGCAACCTTACTCTTCAAAATCTGCAACATATGGGTAATGAATGAGATTTTGTCAGGGTAAAGAAATATTAAGAAAGTATGTGGTCCAGAACCAATTCAACAGGTAATATAAGCATTTTAGCTAGCTAAAATATCAATCGATACACAGAACAGAATAGTCAGCAACTAAAGTCAGGAATTGCTTCTCAATTGTGTCCTTTAGATATCTAAATGTTGGATAAGAATATAAGATTCAATATTATTTGAAGATCCATAGCTACAATGAAATATAATTTATAAATATGTACAATATCTTGAAGAGTAGAAAGTCAAAAGGCAGGAAGAGAGTCACAGCTTCAAAGATTAACAAAAAGGCAAACCAATATCAAACCAGAATAAATGAGAAAATTCTCTTCACAGAAGTTCCCATCATTAACCACAACCCACACTGAAAGATACTTCCGTTCAGCATTCAATACCAACAAATGCGCATTAGAAATTTCAAACATCACTTCAATGATTTATCAAAACACAAATTGAAACTGAACTGTAAAGTGAAACAAAGAGTGAATATCTGAATTAGAAGCAATGCAAATACCATTCTCAAGCTTATAATTCAGCACCTCAATAGTGATCTAATTCTCATCCTTAATTCATGCCTGAAAATCACAAAACGTAATACAGAACATTCACTTTACCAAAAAAAAAAAGAAAAAAAAAAAAAAGTTGCAAGTAATATTAAGTACTAAAACCCAATATCAGAAATTGCCCATAAGACCTATTTAGAAGAAGAAAATGGCAATCAACAACACAAAAGGAAATCGGAATCAAAGAATCTCATAGTAGAACACAGAGAAATCAAGACAAAGCCCCAGCTTGATTGCGTGGGTAGGTAGAAGATCAGCTAGAGCAATGTAGCAAGATAAATAAATTAATAAACCTCAAAAAATGCACGCATTAGAAGATACATAGGTCTGATCGCTTTTCTCCTGCACGAACCCAAAAAATGATCAGTCAATTTTCTGATCTTCTTTAATGCCATCTTTTCTTTCGTAAAACCAAGTCTTAGTACAGTCTGATGTACTTACCACAACTGAAACCTTAATCATCCAGGGAACAGCAGAAACAAGTAACCCAGCAACGAAAACAGACAGAAATTCAAACCACAAAAAGAAAATAAGAAAAATGAATCCATATATTAGTATTTCGCACTTTTGTGCCGAGACCTTGATTGAGGCTGTTTGATTCGCCAACCTTAGAAAATAAGAGGCAATCCTTCGATTTCGACGAATCTGCACTTGGCCTGAAAGTCCCATCCTGCTAAAATCGTCAGCAAAATAGCTAGTTTTGAAGCCGGTTGAAGGGGGATACGAACTATCGGATATAGTTCGAAATGAAGCTATTAAATGGCTCAATCCGGCCCCTAAATCTAAATAAGTCGCGAAGGTTGATGGCTTCGCTAAACCTTGCTGCCTTTACCTTCAAGTCCTCCGATCCTCTTCCTTACGGCCTATCGTTGGTTAAAGCATTTCCTTCACGCGGATAGATATAGATCTTGAAAGCAGAATCTAAATATAGAAGAACCAGCACTTAAAGGGCGCAACCAACGGAAGGTTCTCCCCCTGTCCCAGGCATTGTTCTCCGACGATGTCCCCTGGACGGAAGGGGCCACCATTCTCTTTCTTTCTTCAATCGTTCCGATCAGGACAAGTGGGTTGGTTCGTTTCCTCCTCCTATCTACGCTATTTTCTGTCTTCGTTCGTGATCATGTTGGGCAAAAGGTAGTTTTAGAGGAGCGGATGTGAAAGGGCGATCCTCCCCGGTAGCAAGTTCGACAACAGACATCGCTTTTCTGCTTTTTGAATGGGTATCCCTGAAAGGAAGGCCCGAAGAAAAGGGATCCGGAAAGTCCAATCCAATGACGGTGTTGGAAAGCAAGTCAGAATAGGCTCTCGCTTGAGCAGGACAAAGGGGCTAACAACAGCACGATCTGCCCGCAAGGCTGACTCATTCGGGCTTCATAAACCCAACCTGATTATGAAACCGCAAAAAGGTTTACTTCCACCACATTAAAAAAGGCACCGGTTTGGGTGGCAATTTTTCGCTAGGCATTCGTCAGCGAAGGAAGGCCTACCGAGCGAAGCTCTTTCTTTTGGCCGTGCCGTGAAGTTCAATTGCAAATACCTAGCGACAAACTCCTATGTTCCTTTTATTACGGTATTTCTGAATAAGTTCCTGGATAACAAGCCTAAAGGTTCTCTTATTGATGCTAGTGACGATATTGACGCTAGTGACGATATCGATCGAGGCTATCACCTTCTTTGGCCAGATCCTCCAACCTTTTCACAATTACAGTTCCCTGCGCCCTGGAGCCTAAGAAATAAGCGTAAGTGGGCAGAGAAGAAAAAATAAAAAAAGAAGAAGCAAAAAAAAATGGCTCCGCCGAGTAAGACTGCGGAGAAGAAGCAAAACAGAATGGTTCCGCCGACTCAAAACTAAGAAGGAATGCTGCCCTGACGTTTCACTAGTATCTCACTCTCGAAGGGTGTCTGCTCGTGGAATAGAAAGAGTTCGTTGCATCAACGTCAGGTGGTGGTCCATCGTCCCAATTTAGTGTGGAGTGCCTGCAGCTCTTTGTGCTGCTCGGCGTGCGCGAGACTTTCCATCCTCCGTTCGCGGGAATGATCCCTCTGGAGTTGCCGGCACGATCACCCGCCACCTGCATGGTTTAGCAAACAATCATGCACACAATGTTAGCATACACAATAGCTTACAAAAGGGTCACAATTACAAACTTATATCCAGAAACGAAAACCCCAAGGACATACTAAATTCAAGTAACCCCAAGGAAAACCTCAAAAGGAAAACACAACCTAACCATGCTTCAATAGAGAGTAAGATTTCAAAGGCAAGGTATAATATAATTTTTGATTTCCTAACGTAGTCAGGCATTTTAAGGACATACACATGTAAAATAAATCAAGGCAAACCTCAAAAATCAATATAACAACCTAACTATATTTCAAAAGCTTCTATTCAAAGACATACTTGCAAAGCAGAAAATTAAAAACACCCTAAAATCAAACACAAAAGAAAGTTTAAGTGATTAAAAAAAAACAAAAAAAAAAAAAACCACCCTGTCAATTCAATCAATCAGCTGTAATCAGCATTTTTATACGCAAACAGCTCTTCCAGATATAAAATGACTACTGTAATTCAAGAAGTTCATACATGGCACATGAATTCACCATGCCATTCCATCAATCGGCCTAAATAAGCCTATTCAAGAAATGAGAAACACTGATAAAAACAAGAACAAAAACCAACTGAGCAAACTGCTTCTTGATCATAGCTTCTTATCAACAAAACAGCACTGGCAATGAAAATCTTTCCAGTAAAAGTACGGAACTCTTAAAACTTGTCAAAATACATACCAGAAACTAAGCAAATTCTAAAGAAATTGGTACTAAAGAGCCACATTTGACAGATTCAATCTGTATAATTATTCATGAGTATAAAATGGTGGTGACAAAGATTCTTAATTGCACTGCGGCGCAGATTAGAACGGCCAAATGGAATTTTTCCAGATTCATCAACACCAATATCTAGAAGGTCTTCATCAGCGGTAAACGAACAAACCAGGCCATCTGTTCCAAATTCAACAAGGGCATCACCACATATGCCCCCATCTGGAAATAGTTTCTTTTCTATGGAAGCTGAGTGATCAGCGATAAACGGGCATATTGTTGATAAGTATATTAGGTGACTCGTACTTCGTAGCTTTGTCCGCCCGATCGGGCGGACATTGCCCGGTCTGACCGGGCGGAAGAAGAAGAGGTGCCTGGCAAATTCGTTGAAGAAGCTGCTCTCGCGCCCGACCGGGCGAGCCTTCGCCCGACCGGGCGAGCCTTCGCCCGATCGGGCAGACCTTGCCCGGTCTGACCGGGCGGTGGGGGTTGGATACGTTGAAGCATTCGTATGGAGTTTTCTTCTCGCGCCCGATCGGGCAGACCTTGCCCGGTCTGACCGGGCGGAGAAGGAAAAATGCGGAGACGCGGATTTTACGATTTAAAGTTATCTTTTATGTTATCTTTTTGCCCAAGTATCTTTTATTTTAGGGATTAATATAAAACCTCCCTAATATCAGTATTAGGGTTAAAAGAGAGACAGAGTGAAAGCCGTTCTTGAGAAATACAAGAATCATCTTTGTAATCTTTGCAGTTTATAGTGAAATCATTCGATCTCGGTGCCCGTGGACGTAGCTATCACATCGATAGTGAACCACGTAAATTCTTGGTGTTGTTCTTATTGTTTGCATTGAATTTCTTTATTGTTTTCTTGTTTGTTTACGACCTTTGCTTCCGCTGTCGCACAACAATTGGTATCAAGAGCTCAGGTTCAATCCTTGGAGAGTTTCTTGAAGATAACAATGGCAGGAGATTCAACAATAAGAATTGAGAAGTTTACCGAGAAAAATAGTTTCGGGCTATGGCAAATTAAGATGAAGGCTCTGTTAAAACAACAGCAGATATGGCGTCCGTTGGCTCCAAAGAGTACTACTTCGGAGTCAGGAGACGGACCGACTGACTCGCAGTTAGAAGTTATGGAAGAGAAGGCACACTCTACCATATTACTTAGTCTTGATGATCAAATCATCACGGAGGTTGCTGATCAGGAAACGGCGGCTGGATTGTGGCTGAAGCTGGAGTCATTGTATATGACTAAGTCGTTGACCAACAAATTATTACTGAAACAGCGGTTGTTTAGCCTCCGGATGCAGTCAGGTACTTCCTTACGGGAACATCTAGAAAAACTTAACTCTATTTTGCTTGATTTACGTAATTTAGATGTTAAAATTGATGATGAGGATGCTGCGTTGATTTTACTTGTATCTCTACCGTCTAGCTTTGAGAATTTTGTAGAGTCTTTTGTTGTTGGTAAGGATTCTATAACCTTAGAAGAAGTGAAGGCAGCACTTCATACTAGGGAACTCAGAATGAAAGCTACGAGTGATAATGGGGATAATGGTAGTGGGTTATTTGTTAAGTCCGGAAAGTCTAAAAAGAATAAGGGGTTTAACAAGGGGAACAATGCTGGGTCGGGTGCTGGAAACGGCAAGGATGGATCTAGTAAAACTACTACTAAAACATGTTATTACTGTAAAGAACCGGGTCACTTTAGGAATAATTGTCCGGTGAGGAAAAACAAGTCCCAGGCTGCTGTAGTTGAAGAGAAACCGAATGAGAGCTATAATTCAGAGGAAGATTTAGCATTAGTCAGTTCTGCTAGGTCTGATGATTTATCTGATAACTGGGTTCTAGATTCGGGGTGTTCGTTCCATATGTGTCCACGTCGAGATTGGTTTGATACATATGAACCTCGCAATGGGGGTATGGTTATAGTCGGTAACAATGCTCCATGTAAGGTCACAGGTATTGGTTCCATGAGGTTGAGGACTGTTGATGGGCGGAGGTTAACTTTGACTAATGTACGGCATGTTCCTGCTTTAGGAAAGAATCTGATTTCATTGGGTACCCTGGATGAATTGGGGTACAATGGTGTGTTTTCAGATGGGGAGTTGTGTATTTTCAGAGGTTCTGAGTTGGTACTTAAGGGTATCAAAAGGAACACCCTCTATGTTTTTGAGGGTGTTACACTGCCTAGTTCTGCGGTTTGCGCATCTGTATCTCACCAGGAGATGACTAAGATTTGGCACATGAGGCTTGGTCATATGGGGGAGAAGGGGATGCAGCTATTGTCCAAGAGGGGTCTTCTATCCGGGGTCAAGGTTGCCAACCTTGAATTTTGTGAGCATTGTGTGTTTGGTAAGAAACACAGGTCAAAGTTCAGCAAGGGTGCTCACATTACTGATGCAGTGCTCGATTACATCCATTCAGATTGCTGGGGTCCATCTAGAGTTGAAGGTATGGGAGGTTACCACTATTTTGTGTCATTTGTTGATGACAAGTCCCGATACACATGGCTTAGGTTGCTTAAGTCAAAGGATGAGGCCTTCAAAGTTTTCAAGCAATGGAAAGCTTTGGTGGAAAATCGACAAGGAAGGAAGATCAAGAAGCTACGAACGGACAATGGGCTAGAGTTTTGCAAAGACGAGTTTAATCAGTTCTGTGCAGATGAGGGTATAGGTCGGCATCATACTGTCAGGAAGACACCACAGCAGAACGGTGTAGCAGAACGGGTTAATCAGACACTGCTAGAGAGAGTCCGATGCATGCTCTCTAATGCAGGGCTTGGGAGGAGGTACTGGAGTGAAGCTGTGTTAACAGCTTGTTATGTCATTAATAGGGGTCCTCATTCTGGAATTGATTCCAAAATTCCGTTTGAGATCTGGAGTGGTAAGTTGCCTAATTTTTCGAATTTGAAGATTTTTGGTTGTGTTGCTTATTATCATGTTATTGAGGGTAAGCTGGATCCACGAGCCAAGAAGGGGTGTTTTGTTGGGTACGGGGATGGTGTGAAGGGGTTTAGAATTTTTTCACCTTCGGAGGGTCGGGTCATTCTTAGTAGGGATGTTACTTTCGATGAAAACACCATGTATTCAATTAAAAATGCAGAGATTTCAGATTTGAGAAGGGAAGGAGACAATTTATTACAGACAGATGGGGTACTTGAGGTACATCAGTCTACCATTGCTGATTTACCTCGGGTACAATATATTGATGATGATGCTGATGTTCCAGTGCCGGGTACTCCTGAACCTGAGATTACTCCTACTCATTCTAACTCTGGGGATGAGGTGGAGCAATCTAATCAGGGGTCATCTAGTCAACCTGACACCATTCTTGAGATGCCTAAACGAGTTATCAAGAAGCCTGTTAGATTGATTGAAGAGATGGAGGGAAGAAATTGCTGTGTTGATGCGATGACAGGTTATGCATTGAGTGTAGCTGATGATGTAGAGTCATTTGAACCTGCCACATATAAACAAGCAATTAGTTGTAGTGAGTCTGCGCAATGGCTTGCCGCAATGGGTGAAGAGATGCAGTCTCTTTACAAGAACAGAGTGTGGGAACTGGTAAAGGTACCGGAAGGGAGGAAGCTTGTGGGTTGTAAATGGATTTACAAGAAGAAAGAAGGGTTGTCGGAAACTGAGCAAATACGTTTTAAGGCTAGGCTAGTTGCTAAGGGGTTCAGTCAGGTAGAAGGGGTTGACTTTGTTGAGATATTCTCACCTGTGGTTCGACATACTTCTATCCGTGTGTTATTGTCAATTGTAGCACATTTTGATCTTGAGCTGGAGCAGTTGGATGTTAAAACGGCCTTCCTTCATGGCGATTTGGAGGAGGAGATTCTGATGAAGCAGCCCGAAGGATTCGAAGCTCCTGGAAAGGAACACTATGCCTGCAGATTGCTAAAGTCATTGTATGGACTTAAGCAATCCCCCCGACAGTGGTACAAAAGGTTTGATTCTTTTATGGTTTCACAAGGTTTTGACAGGAATTCATATGATTGCTGTGTGTATCATAGTAAGCTGGATAATGGTTCCATGATTTATCTTTTGTTATATGTTGATGACATGTTGGTTGCCACAAAGAATAAATCTGATATTGCTAGATTAAAGGAGATGCTTAACTCGGAGTTTGACATGAAAGACTTGGGTGCAGCTAGGAAGATTTTGGGTATGGAGATCTACAGGGATCGGGCTAGAGGTAAGCTTTTCTTGACTCAGAAAAGCTACATTGAAAAGATTCTGTCTCGTTTTGGGATGGAAAAATCGAAGCCTATAAGTACGCCAACTACTGTTAGTTGTAAGTTGTCTTTGTCTATGTCACCTCAATCAGAGGAGGAGTTGTCTTATATGTCTAGAGTTCCATATGCAAACGCGGTTGGTTGTTTGATGTATGCTATGGTCTGTACTAGGCCGGATATTGCGCATGCTGTTAGTGTTGTAAGCAGGTTTATGGCTCGACCTGGGAGGGAACACTGGCAAGGGGTGAAAAGGATTTTTCGCTACCTGAGAGGGACAGCTGATATTGGTCTTGTGTACGGGAATGGTAAGGAATGCTTGGTCACTGGGTACAGTGATTCTGATTATGCAGCTGATGTGGATACCAGGAGGTCTGTGACTGGTTATGTGTTCACTTTGGGTGGTTCTGTGGTTAGTTGGAAGTCTACATTGCAGTCATCAGTTACGTTGTCAACTACTGAAGCTGAGTATATGGCTCTAACTTCTGCAGCTAAGGAGTCTATTTGGCTCAA